CTAGAATTGCTCATAACAAAATTATTTCTTCTAATTAATTAAACCATGTTATTAGTGAAGAAAACGCGGAAGATTAATTATTAATCACTATTTGTGGGGTTTAAACCTATTACAAGCAAAGAATGTATTTATGTAATGATTGATGCAACAACTGAAAGTTAAAATGATATTACTAGTGGATTAGAATAGTGTAATTATAACGGTAGTAATTATCAGTTAAATAATTATACAACTTAATAATTATGTTGACAGGTTTATTTGTTACAGTTTAATTATAAATATATTATTTGATTGCACAATTACAATCATAAAATTATATTAAATTTTAAGAATAAAAGTCAGTTATCTAAAATTAAAACTTTATATGAAACAGATAATAGACTTTAAAAATGATATTTAATTAAATATTTATGATGTATTAATCAACGAAAACTTGTTCTTAATTAATATTGTAACAATGATTTATGTACATTTCAAGTTATATATATATATATCATAAAAACTAAAAGTAATAGATTTCTATAAATATTATAAATACACGTTTTTAAAAAGATTAATATTATAAATATAGTGTCATGAATTTCTAAGTAAAAATAAATAACTTATAATGTAAAAAAATCAGGTAAATAAATTAAGATAAATAAAATTGAAAATATAATATAAGTTTCAAATTCGAACAAAAATTTAATATAATATTCTTATATAAATTTTCAAAATAACGTAATAAGTATGATTTAAAAGAAATGAAAAAAATGATTTTTACAATGAATTTTACTTTAATAAATTAAGATACTGACAAAATTATGCAAATGAAAAAATTAACATTGAATAAACAAATAAAATAGATAACATGAAAATGGCAAAAGAAACAAAAGAAGTTAAAAGTTAAGAATGAAAAGAAAATAAAAAACAAATAATATAAATAAAAAAATATTTTTAGAACAATGAAAAATAAAATAATAAACTAAAAATAAATTTTAGACAAAAAAATAAAATTTAAAAGAAGAAACTAACATGTAATAGCTAGTAATTCACCATATAATTTTCAGGAATTTAGAGATCCTCATTAGAATTTGATGAGTATAATTATTTTTGTTTAATTACATTTAGGTACATATTAATTAAATAATCATACGATCAACCAAATAGATAACACAATATAATTAAACTCAATTATATTAAATTTAATTATTAATATATCTTTTCAAATCGACCCAAAAATATAAAATTTGAAAAAACATAGCTACATGAATTTGTAATTAACAGCTATTACTATATATATATATATGAAAGAAAAAGTAATTTAATTTTAATTTTAAATATACCAAAAGAATTTTGATGAACTCACTTGTCCCACGTGGCTCTATCCTGTTGATTTGACCAATTTAATAATGTAAATAAAGTGTTGTAACTGTGGACTTTTTCTTGGTAATAATAAACATTTATTATTTAATATTAGACTTTATTCCTCAAAGTATGACTTAAAAGACTGCTTTAATTTTGCAGCTGAAAAACATATAATGATGACTTTTTAGTCACCAAATGAATAATATAAACGTTGTAAATATCCGAAAGGATTTTTCCATATTATTGATAATGGTAGCGTTCATGGAAAACTGCATATATCTTTATAACATAATATATAAATATGTTTTTTAATTTAATTTTGAATAATATTTATGTTTTTAATTTTGAATGTGTACAAGTAAATACTAAAATTTGTATAAAGTTAAATAAATAACCACATATATTCTATATGTTATCTAACATGTTATTTTTTATTATACGTGATGTCTTATTAGTATTGTGTCATGTAGGACTTATGTGTTTATTTATTTAAAAATTAGATAGTTAAAATATTTTTTTGTACATTATAAAAATTGAAGGTTAAAATTAAAATTTGAATCCAAATTTATATTATGTTATGCCTATCTTTATTATTTACTTAGACGCTTTGTTGCATGATACTAATCAGTCAAATAGTAAAAATCTATATAACACGATTTTCACAAAGAATTTTCTCTATCTTCAATATTATTTTACTATTTTTTATTTTTATTTTACTTTTTTATTTCATAATATAAATAAGTTATTTTTATTTTTCATAAATAATCACCCTATAATTTTTATTTAATATAAAATTATTATTTTTTAAAATATTTTATGTAGTATAAAATTATATTATATTTTGTTTTAAAAGAGCACCTACGAAAAAATTGAAAAAGAAACCAACAATCATAATTGCAATTACAAACACAACAATTCTCTAGATCATACACTATCTTCTTTTCGAATATAGTTAAATCTGAAAACGATCTATTGGATTACTAAATTATTATAATAATTTTTAAAATTATTGTGTTATGTATCGTATTGTTATCTCGTACATTTAAATTATTATGTCACGTATTGTATTTTTAAATTAAAATTTTCAATTTTATCATTTAAAGTTTGTGCATTGTTCATAGCGAAAATCAATAAAAATACTATCAAGTTATCTCTTAAAATTGACAAAAATTGAAAAAAAATATTGTTAATTCGAGATGAAAGTAGTATATACAAAATAATATATTTTTAAAAATATTATATTATATTGAAAAGGAATTACGAACATTAGAAATTCAACTATATGTATAACCAGAGGAATAATACATATAGTTGAAAAATATGGATTCTACCATTAATCGTCTATGAAGATTAGAGTTCGATGATATATGTAACAATTTTGTTTAGCGAAATTCAGCCTTTCACTTGGTGATAGATATAGTATAGAAATGAATTATGTAACTCTCAATATTTCAATACTTTACTATTTTTCTCATATTCAACAAAAATATCGGGAATAGTAGGATCTCATAGGAATTTGTTTGAAAATGTAACAAAGGTGAAAAATCACCAACAACAAAAACACTCTATTGGCCGATACTTTTATTGAGAAATAAAAATTAAAAAACCGAATGAGATTAGATACACCAGTTATCCTTAACGGTAAACGATGAATCCGAAGTTATTTGGATATTCATTACTCAAAGAAAGGAACATAGCTCTTTACTATATAAAACTTAAATTACGATGTAAACCTATTTATTAGTGAAGTTTAGTTGAAAAGTGAATCTCAATTTTTTTTTCCGAATGAGATAATTCATCTTAGTTTTAATATGTAAAATATGTTCTTGGCCAAGCCAAGGAATTGACAAATTTATAGGGACGGATTCATCTTCTTTTGGACAAGTTGGGGAGCTACTTTTTGAAAAATTACTTCATACCACCACTTTTAATTTCAAAAGTTCAAATGTAAAGCATATGTTACTTTTTTACTGTTTTTTAATTTACTAAATATCGACTTAGGGATGCTACGTAAATTAGTTTGTAAAATTTAAATAGGAGAAATTACACAGATAAACAAGCATATAGTAGGTAATTAGTTGGCATAACTATATTTTTCATTAATTACCACTTCCATCTTAATCTTAGCCATAATTACATCGCCTCTTTTTTCTCTCCTTTTTTATATGTATTCAAATATAAATTATACGTATACAATTATATGACATATATACAAATACAATTTGCCTACCCCACTCTTTGCTCTCTCACACTCGCCTCTCTTTTTCATATTTCAATCTTGCTCGTCAAATATACAAACACATATGTAAACCAATTAAACATATATAATTATCTGACAAATATACATAATACAATTCACCTCTTTCCACTCTCTGCTCTCTCTAGCTCATCTCTCTCCTCCCTCTCTCAATCTCGCTCGCCTGATATAAAAATACATATGTATACCAGTTACATATATACAATTATTTGACATATATAATTCTTCTCTCTCCACTCTCTGCCCTCTCTTGCTTGCCCTTCTCCTCTCTCACAATCGCGCTTGCACCCCCCTAAAATGTAGCTACGAATCGTAATTACCAAACTATAACTATGGAACCTAATTAAATTTATTTTAATGGCTATTTATGAAATTACCTTATTTTAAGGAAAAATTGTGCATTATAGCAAACTATTAATTCAAAATAAATAGCTACAATTTCATTTAATTCCAATTCACAGCAATTTTTTTGTCATTCGCCTCTCTCCTAGAATCTCACTCGCCACTCTCTCAGTTTATACAAACACAAATATATGAATTGTGTTTGGATTTGTATAAAGCAAGAAGTGACTGTATAAATAACTACATATCTCTTTGTCCTATACACTAATACTATATAAATCTAAATTTTCCTGTACTCAGTTCTCCTTTGTTTTTCTCTCTTTATACAAACATAAATTTTACAAATACAAATACAAGATATAATTTATATTTGTATGAAGCGAGAGAGATTTGAGATACAAATATAAATATTTTAACTCAATTTAATTGCATACAAATTTAAATTATGTGCAGATATACAAACAAAATCATTGATACACACACACATAATAGTTGCATATAAACAATTGTCTAACCAATATACATATACAATTCCTACGACCTATTGATTCTAACAATTGATTGCAGAGTTGATCATTCAGATCTTTCAATTCTCCATAGATGTAGATCTCGGAACTATAAATAAGATATTTTTGAAACTCATTCGGAAAAAAAGAAATGAGTTAGACAAAAACAAAAGCAACTTAGACAAAAAGAAATGAAATGATTTAGATATATCTTTTTTGTCGATAACCTCATACTAATCAATCAAATATTGATTAATATGTAATCTTTATACATATTAAATGTCCACGAATTAGATGCTAGTTTTCTATGAAGCGCAAATAACAAAATTATAGCTATAGAGCGCTAATGTGCTTTTTATGTTATTTATTCTAAAAATTTAGACATTTAAAAACTAGATGAAAAATATTATAAATTATTGTTTTTTGCATATCAATGTATTATGAAAAATAATTTTAAAATGTTAGTTGAGGTTTATATATTTGACTCTAAAAATAAAAATTATGATAAATAATTGTGGAGAAATGAAGTATAAGATAAGTTTTCATTTTGGTTTCTTAATATATTTTAGTTAATTCAAATGGTTTGATTTTAAGCGAAGAAACCTAAATCGAAATTGAAATTGAAATTGATGGTGAAGATGAAAGGATGGTTAGGGCAAATGGGTTTCAACAAAAATGGCGGAAATATTAACTGGTTCCCTGGTCATATAGATGCTGCTAATCGTGCCATTCGCCGCCGGCTCAAACTCTCCGATTTTGTCATTGAACTCCGTGATGCCCGTGTAAGTGTCTAATTCAATGTATTTTGAAGTAACACTTTTTTGTGTGTGATAACCAGATACTGCTTTGATACTTGTTCAAGAATTTAGGTTAAAAAAGGATTAGTACTAAAGTATGAAACTTTGGAACTGATCTTGAATGGAGTACAAAATAAGAGATTGTTGAGTAATCAAACTTTATGTTAATAGACACATATGCGAATTTCAGCTAAAAAGAAGTGATTTTTTTTTGGGCATACTAGGAGAGATAAGACTAGAAACCATGAAATATGGGCTAAGGTGGTTATGACGTCATGGATAAGATACAGTAAATGAGACGCGGGTGGTTTAGGCATGTAAAGAGGAGGAACACAGAGGTTGTTAGCGATAGGCCTAGTGAGAAGGTGCATAGAGGCTGATCGAACAAGAATTGAGAAAGAGCGATTGGACAAGACACGACACACCTTCAGCTCATCAAGGACAATGACCCTAGGCAAGAGAACGCGGGGGTCGATAATTAGGTTAGAAAATTAGTAGGATGTAGAGCCATTTCTTGCATTTAGGCCGGGGGCATGGTTCTAGTTTAGAGCACTTTATCTTCTCTCTCTCCCTCCTCCTCAGTATTATTGCCATTACCTCAATTTTCATTAGTCGTACTACTATTGTTTCTTTTACATTAGTTATCCTTACTATTTCTGCTGATGATATTTTTCCAAGTTAGTATTGTTATGAAATAGGCCGAATAGCTATTGCTCCCAACTAGTTTGAATGGAGTTTAGTGGACTGAGTAATTAAGTTAATTTCAGACTAAACATGTTTAAATTTTGCGATTTTATGCAGATACCATTATCCTCCGCAAATGAAGACTTGCAGCCTATGCTTTGTGAGAAAAGACGGGTGATTGCCCTCAATAAGAAAGATTTGGCCAATCCCAACATCATGCATGTACCTATTCTCTCTTTCGTACTCCCTCCATTTCAATTGTTTGTATGATTATGACTTGGCACGAAGTTTATGAAAGTAAAGAAGACTTTTGAATCTTATAGTCTTAAACATGCCATGCGGTAAGATGAAATTTTGAAGAGTTGCGGAAAAAATGAAAGAGATTTTCTTTTCTTAAACGGATCAAAAAGGGAAGTAAGACAAACCTGATCCCATAACTAGTTATCTGAAGCCTTATGCATGTTTGTTTCAATAAACTAATGAAATTGATTAGTGTTTTGTGGAGTGCTTTGTCTTTCATGTGACACAAATAGTAATATAGAATATGTCTTTTAAATAATTGTGCTTGTTGAAGGAACTTCAATTAAATTTTGATTGGTTAGATGGTGTTCACAATTGTAAAAGTGAAGCTTACATTTTTTATTTTATGCAGAGGTGGATCCGATATTTCAATTCATGTAAACAAGAGTGCTTCCCAATAAATGCACACAGTAGAAGTTCTGTGCAAAAGGTTAGCTAACATTTTATCTGCGCAATTTAGATGGAAGCTTGGTTCATGGCTTTGTATTATGTTTTATATTTCAAAGATGCTGCAATAGTTATCCTTGAGCACTTTTATCAATGTTATTAGTTGTAATGAGTACTTCTAGAACTTTATTCTTAGAGTAATTTCAATTTTCATCAACTAAAAATTCAATTCTCAAGTACATTTTAGCCTGAAAAGATCTGACTCTTTATAATTTAGAACTATTTGCTTCACTATTACTCCCTCAGGTTCAATTTGTTTGTCTTGCTTCCCTTTTTCGTCCGTATAAAGAACGCCTCTTTGCCTTTCCAGAAACTCTTGAAGTTCAACTTACCACATTCAACATCAACATGAATGTTTAAGACCACAGGATTTCTACGTATCTTTAGTTTAAGACCACAAAATACAAAAAAATTTCTACTTTTTTAAACTCTGTGTCAAGTCAAAACTAGATAAATAAATTGAAAATGGAGGGTAGTGAAAAACAAAAGAGTGGTGTCATTGTCAACCCCCCCCCCCCCCCCAAAAAAAAAAAAAGATGACTTCTTTTGTTTTGGAATGGAAAGGCTTACTTCACGTCTTCACCCAATGAATATATTGCCCATTATATATGCCAGAAAGCAAAAAATATCAATTTTTTATCCTTAGTAAATAGTAGGTCAAGTACTATTAATGCAGAATATAGTCAACTGCGACCAGATTAATGAATCCTGAGTGAGAAAGGTGCTTTTGATTTTATTTTTGAGTGAGCCAGACGTTATTAGGTTACCTTTCTTCCAAGATTTTCTGAAGTATTCTTTGTTATTTATGTATTGAAGCTTCTCGATATTGTGGAGTTTAAATTGAAGGAAGTTATTACAAGGGAGCCTACTCTTCTTGTCATGGTGGTTGGTGTTCCTAATGTCGGAAAATCAGTTTTAATCAATTCCATCCATCAAATTGCATCATCCCGATTTCCAGGTGAGACAATTGTTTTTGTTAGTGTTTCTGTATGACATACATGGTTCTTTTGGGATGCTGGCATATTACGTCGAGCGCCTATGGTTTAAACTTTGTCTTAGTGCAGGAGAAGATGAGGAGGTCTACAGTGGGGCCTTTGCCTGGTGTTACTCAAGATATTGCTGGATATAAGGTATGAAAATATTCAATAACTTGGATATCTGATAGTTATTCAGTGATGGCTAAAACTGTGTGTGATAAATGGTGCGATGTTTCAATTTCCAAATTTCACATTATATTTTCTGTACTCCTTTGCTGTTCAGGAAAACAAATTTCTTTCATGTTGACCATATTCTGCTTCACACCACAGAATTTTGACCCTAGATAGTAGTATATAGGGGTCGAGGATTAGGGTGGAAGGCTAGTAGGTAGTAGGTAGAAGGATTTTTGTTTAGTACTCTCATGCTACCTTATTCTTCAATTATTATTTTTTTACCACTTGTACCTCTGTTTCAGTTATCTTACTGTTTGTTGTTGCTATTGTTCTTTTCTCCATTATTTTATATACTTCCTCCGTTTCAGGAGGAATGACCTTTTCTTTTTAGCCTGTTTAAAAAAGAATGACCTTTTTTTTTGTAACATTTTAATTTCAGTTTTCCACGTGGCATGTTTAAGGCCACAAGATTAAAAGACAATTTTGTACATTTGACATAACTTTAATTTAAAACTACAAGATTCAAAAGTCTTTTTTATTTTCTTATACTCCGTGCCAAGTCAAACTAGGTTGCTCTTTTTGAAACGGAGGGAGTATATGGTTATTCATTACTAAATTTCCTTTAATTTTTTTACTGTTTTTGGGTATAGCCGAGAGTATATCTGAAACACTCTCTACTTTCAAATGGTAGGGGTAAGGTTACATACACACCATCCTCGCCAGACCCCATTTGTGAAATTTCACTGCGTATGTTGTTGTATCACAGATTTTTGACTGGTTTAGATGTTCTATCTGGCTTGTAGATTTTTTAAGAGAAGTGTAAATGCATATATTAAGCCCAAGAGATCATAGCTATGGGAAGGTTGAGCTTAGTTGCTTATTCTCTGATACATTAGATGCTTGAGCAGAAGCATTAAGCTTTTCAACTGGTGCAAGTCTCTTTCCTTCTTTTGCTCAGGGGTAGCTCAAGAGTGCATATTTTTGGTTGTACAGTGACATTCCTAATAGAGGAGAATTTTCTATCTCTCTGAGCCTAAAAATCCAGGATTTGAATTTGATGTCCTCTTATCGATTCCTCCTGATATCCATTACAGCCCGATTGTCCAAGTATGTCGGAACTAAACAACAAAGCAAGTGCATTTCATCATCAGACAACCACTCCCTTATCTGATGGGCCAATCTGTTACCTTCTCTAAGATGGTTATAAATTTTAATTGATGTCACCTCAATAAGAAAAGAGAAAGAGCTTAATACTTTTAACTGATAGAAATTCCCTTTTAGATGTAAAAGCGACATTCCAATTCTTATTTGATGATTGGGTACCAAAAGCTGCTTTTTTATGGCCATGATTTCCATTAGTTGGGAACTTCATGTCATTGAAACAGGCATCTTTTTTGTTGCTTGTTATATTGAATTGTCTGCTGTTGCATATTAATGTTTCTGATGCTTATACATCGCTGTACACAGATTGCACATCAACCTAGCATATATGTGTTGGACACTCCAGGTGTGTTGGTTCCAAGTATTCCAGATATTGAAACAGGGTTAAAGCTGGCCCTAGCAGGTTTGTTCCTTGTCCAAGTTCACATTCTATTAGTCTAAAGAGTTTTTTTTTTTAATGCAAAAACGTCTAATATCAGCTTTAGGCATCTTGTTTTATCAAACCTAAGGTTGCGTTTTTGCTATCAAGCATTGTAAGTAATGATAAAGGGTAAACAATAACCCCACTATAAATGAGACAAAGAGCGTGCCCATATTGAAGCAGAGCCAAATTCAACTTCACTTAGCCTCCTTTGGTATCTGTATGATTGTGCAGGGTCCATCAAGGATTCAGTTGTTGGTGAAGATCGAATTGTTCAATACCTATTGGCAGTTCTAAACACTAGAGGAACTCCTCTTCATTGGAGACACTTGATCAGTAGGGAAACTGAGGGCCTTCATCATGAGTTGGATGACAAACCTGAATATAATCTCAAGGATCTTCTACCAAAAAGAAGGAAGCCACCCAACAAATCTGATATCTACTACATAGAGGTAATACATGATGTTTTTTTTAAAGGTCCAAGTTTTATTGATGAAATACTTAGAAGTGTAGTTACATGTGTACACAATTTGGAAAGTGTATGATTATAAAACCAAATTTAACCATATATAATCAAATAAACCATGAAACTTCTCTTATTCCTAACAAATGGAGTTAAAACTACTTCAAATTTATTTATTTATTTGGCATGTGTTGTACTATTTGATTGTTTCTTTCGCTTTGTATATCTTATTATCTTGTTACTGCCTGATATTACTGCTCTTTTTTCATCTCTCCTTGCCTTACCGGAAACAACAACCTTACCATCACAAGGTAAGGGTAAGGTCTGTGTTCAGACTATCCTCCTTAGACCCCATTTGTGGGAGTATGCTGGGTATGTCGTTGTTGTGTTGAAATCTAATACAAAGTAAGGTAAGCTATGCCATTTAGTTCAAGAAGAAGAAGCTCATTGTCGTCGTCATCCTCTTCTATGGTTGTTATTATGTTTCCTTTGTTTATAGGATATGGTCAGTGAAGTCCAACGCACGCTATGCACCACACTGTCAGAGTTTAATGGTAATTTGGACGATGAAGGCGAGTTGGAGATTTTGATAGATCAGCAGTTTGAAGCATTGCAAACGGCTCTAAAGATACCTTACAAGGCATCGGAAGCTCGCATGATGGTGTCAAAAAAATTTCTAACTCTATTTAGAACAGGCAAACTTGGTCCTTTCATCCTTGATGATGTCCCTGATGCATCTGATTCTGCATCTTGAAATGCCATTTGCAAGGTATCAGTGTATGTAATATGATTCATCTTTTTTGAATACTTCAAACCTTATCAATCTAGTACTAGTTTGGAAGTCGTTTTAATAGACATATTTCCACTATTTTCCATGAGTTATTCATGTTTCTTTTACTTTTTTTGATAGTCTAGAAATACCTGTTCACGATTCAAAAGTCGGTGGATAATGTGCCGGCCTTCTCCACTTAAATATGCATTTGACTTTTGTTTATTGAAGAGTTCAAGCCTATGACATGCGCCTAACTCACATATCGATATTGCACTTTTATAACTAGACCAAAGTCATGAAGGCAGGTTGCTATTATCTAGTCAAGTCATGCATATCCAATATCTCAGTTAGAGAGGAGCTCAAATATTTGGTTCAACTCCCTTCAGTTAATTGGTGAGACAGGCATATGCATATACGATCAAAATTCTCTATAATGGTGTTGCCTATTCCGATGATTTTTGGTTATTCAAGTGTGTAGAAAACATCTTACATAACTTTAGCATGAAAAATTGATTCTGAAAAAGAAGATTTTTGGTTGTTCAAGTGTGTAGAAAACATCTTACATAACTTTAACATGTAAAATTGATTCTGAAAAAATTGATAGTTATATTAAAACTATTGTGGATGATTGTTATTGAAATATAGAATATAAGGTTTACTTGTCTAATGGATATTATCAGATTACTTGATCCATTTATAAAAGGAAAAATTAGCAATTAAGTCATAATACATAACATATTTAATTAAAATAATAATATTTTAAAATATTAAAATGACAATATTTTAACAAATAAAATGTATCCTAATAATTTATTATCTTCCTTTTATTTCTCAAATTAGACCCACTTTTTGACTAAAAATAATAGACCCCATGACCCACTTTTCATTCTTTAAATATTTTTGAAAAAATTAGCAATCTAGTCAAAAAACATAACATAATTAGTAAGAATCTCTATAATTTAAAAATATTAGTAAAATGTCAAATTGTCTTTATTTTAAAAACAATATGTATCCAATTTACTTCCTATTATACCTAACATTGATTACACCTTTTCCAATCATTACTCTCATATTAAAAAAAAAGTTACTTTCTCTCTCTCTCTTATATTTTACTCTTTCAATTATCCACCATTTTCAAATCCGACTTTTTTCTCTTCTGTCATTTTTTTTCCAGAAATTGAAAAAGAAACCCTTTCTCTCTCTAAATTTTTTACTATCATTTCTCTCTCATACAATTTTTTTCCCCTATATTCCCTCTCCTCAAATAATTCAAACCTTGATTAATTTTCGTAGCTGCTTATGCAGAATATTTTAGCGACGAAATTAAAATTTCATCCGTGGATCTTCAGAGCGACTATCTTCGCAATAGATACAGAACATTGTTATGGAAGTATGTCATAGACAAACTCAAGGCTGGATATGTTAGTGAAAGTGATGATCCGACAAGGCCAAGGGCAGGTTTTCTAAACAGGCAGAAGATGCATTGGTCGATGTTGATTAGTTAGGTTTATATTATTTTTGAACTATTATTGGAATGGAATATTTTGTATTTCAACTTCTATTTTTCGTCAATATTACTAAGGATTTTCTAATTTTAATAATTTATCTTGTCAAACAGCTGATGACACTATATTAAATTTTTTAACAATATAACTGTTCAGTTATTTACTCAATTATGATACAAAATGACACATAATTATTTAGTTAAAATTTATTAATTATTCGGTAAATAACAAAATATGATACTATATTATAATCAGATACGAAGTAACAATAGAATTATTACAAATATGATTCTTATTTTAATATCTAAAAATAAAATTGGTTTATCTTTATTAAATAATGCAAATTATTGTGTTCAACATATTTAGTTTCGTTGAAGAGTTCGAATAATATACTTACATATATACATTTAGTTTAGTTTATATTTTTGTCAACCTTTTGAATTCAATTATATTAGTTAATTAACAGTACATATACTTATTTTTTGTAAAAGTTGGTTCTACAAAATAACATACGATACCATATAAAGTATGTTCATAATATAACTGATAATATTTTTACATGATTGTAACTAGTTTATTTAATTACACGATACTAAATAATTTATATAAGTAGTATATACAAAATAAACGATGACACCATAATAAATTATTTTCAGAGTATATCTGATACTATTTTTACACAATTATTATACTAGTTGATACAAAATAGGTTACTTCATAATATCGTATTTTTTGTACAAATTTAAATGTATGATATTATATTACAATCAGATACACAAAACATATAATATGCCACGTGTTAGCAACATAAAAAATTTAATTTGTATAGCTTTATTAATTAATACAACATTATGAACATAATATATTTAGTATCGTTAAGAATTACATATCATATAATAAACTATAAATATTTGATATCCAGAATAATATATTTAGTATCGTTAAGAAATCATATCAATAAAAAAAGTTCACATATTATTAGCAAATTGAAATTATCCAGAAACATTACTACACATCAAAGATACTAAAAAGATATAAATCAAAAAATCTTTTGGAAAGAAGGTATATGTTCTTTTATTATGACCTTCTTGACCACAACGTCCACAACAATTCGTTTTTGTTGTTACCTTTTCATCTGGATTTTTCTTTCTCTTTTTTCTTGGTCTCCCAGACATCTTTTGTATCTAGGTGGCAAGATCACTTTTTTCAAAACAGAGTCCGGAGCTTTCCATTCTCTTTTGTCTGACATTGATTCTATTGGAATTGCATAAGTATTTGTTAATGCATCATGTTTATAATAATTAGAGCAGTAGAGGTGTACATCTGTTATATTCTTCTTCTTCAAGACGACTATTGCATGTGGACAAGGTATTACGTCATGTTAAAATCTTCCACATGAACACGTTTTCCTCTCGAGACAAACAATGTATCTAATTTTACCTTCATACACTGAAAAAATAAACTCAGAAGATGCAAAAACCTGCAATTTTGTAAAAAATAGAGACAGTCAACAAGTGTTTTTTTTTCATTTTTGTTTAAAAATAAAATAATAAATATAAAGCAAATATGTACCTTCATTATTGCACTTTTTAATGCGTTTAAAATCAATATTTCTTCAAATCTTCTACCCAATGTTTCTTTTGTATAAGAAACTATTTCTCTATTTTTGCAATTTCAACTGTGGCTTGTTCCTTGCTTAATATCCTATCCCTTAATGGACAGGTATGTTCACTATTAAAGTATCTCACTATGAATGTTTCTGAATTCTTCCTAATAGATGCCTTCAATTTCCAACAACAATCATCTAAATGACAAACTAATACGTAGCTGCAATAAAAAAACATATATTGGTTATTTGCTAAGGTTGACTGTTTTAATAAACAAAAAAGAAAGAAAAAATTAGAAAAAGATACTTTATTTCATTTTCACAATAGAAATGATACTTCATAATAAATATTTCACATCTTGATAACTTATTCTGTAAATTGATCAGAAATATTACATTTACTGATTTTAACATTCAAAATGTGAAAAACATCATTACGATCAAATCATATTACACAGAAAACTACACGCAACATATAATATTAATGTATCATACTAAATATATTACAAATAAATTATATATTATTAAAAATATTAACATATAAATTGGAAACATACCTTTTGTTATCAGATCTTTTAACTTCAAAGTTGAAACTATTCTTTATTTTGTAATTTTCCAATACCGCCTTCAGAGTTGACTTATTCTTATACATTTGATTCTCTTCCACAACTGAATTATTGGTGTCTGATATATACTTATCAACATCCATATCCGGTATGTAATATGCATCATCAATTGATATTCAACAATATTGAGAGCTTTTGCGTCGCTTTTTTCACCCTCAATACACATGATGACACCTGTGGTTGCATCGAAATTTATTATATCTTCAACACCTTTATCTGAAGTATCAATGCATAAAGAATAAGTTCTGAATCCAACCTCATGTTTCTTAATTTCTATATACAATTTTACACCCATATCAGTCTGAATACACAATGGAGACGAATTCCCTTCAACAACATATCTAATCTCTATATCTTTTTTCGATTCGTCAATACCCAGCTCAGCCGCAATTGCTGAAATAAGATTCATGAACGAAATATTTTCACCAACCACTATCCCATCACTTTTGTATTGCTCATACATAACATAACTTTCCCATATTCCAGAATGTTGCAACAAGATCGAAATATTCATCTTTGAAAATTCAGAATCGACGTTCCAGAGATTTTTTTTATGCAAAATCATTTTTTTCTGATTCAAAATCTGAATTTTTTAATATTATGAAAATGAATAATGCAATAAATTAGTACGTTTTTATACAGATTTGACGGTAATCTTGTTAAAAATTAAAGTAAATCATGAGAAAGTTGTTACCCTTTTTTTGTGCCGTAACAATTAACATAAGAAAAAAATATTAAAGTATCTGACAATTTTTATTTACGTATCATTTTTGTTTTATAAAGTACCTGAATTTTTCAAAAAAAAGAAATTTTTGATAAATATTAATATTATAGGGATATAATGTAATTTGTCATTACAGTATGTCATTTGCCTAATTTTTACAACTAAATTGTTGAGGTGTCGGGCTGGTTTTGCATGGGAGAAAGAAAAGGGAATTGGATTCTTGGTAGATTGCGCAGGTTGGCCCAAAATTGGTTTAAGGAAAATGAGTTATGTCTTGGAATTTAAGAAATAGTCAAATTAAATTTAATTTAGGGAAATTGACTTAAATATAAATAAAACAAATTAATATCAATTAATTAACGAGCTTCTTAATTTTCACAAAAAAATAAAATAATTAATATAATTTTAAACTAGTGATTTTCAAAAAACTAAAACAATTATTTAAACTAAATTAATTTAATAGAATACTTACTAAAAAATTAAAATTCTTTCGAGATAATTTTCGAATATTTATGAAATATACTAATTATATCTATAAAACTATTGAAAATATATTTACTAATTATAAATTATTAAAATAGACTAATGTTACGTAAATGACTTTGGAAAGTATTTGAATTTTATAAAATAAATTATTCTAAATTGTTTGGAAACTAAGAAACTCATGAATTAATTCCTATCGAAGAGGGTCAAAATTGGGTGTCAACATTTGTATCCATATACTTGTGTAAATTCGTGTTCATTTAGAAAGGATACAACATTGGATTATATATTTATAAAAAACGTAAAGTTTTTCTTAAAATTCCAACAAAATTTGTGTTCTAGTCATCTAACATACAAAAATACAATTATAGTAACAATGAAAATTTGTATTTCAAAAGAAAATTGTATTTCGTGACAAAAAATGTATTTCTTATATATGTTATGTATTTCAAAAATATATTATATCCAATATCTAATTTATAGAGCATCAACTAAACATGATTCCAAATTATGTATTCCAAGCATCCACCATAAAAGATCAAAAATATTTAATCATTCACGGTTTGTATCCA